CTGTTAAGTTGATTCGTGATAAACCCGTAATAATAAATCAGATACAATGTATTTATGAAGTAAATACACTGTCGGATGGTTTACCTAACCTAAACGCCCCTACTCTGGGACTTTATTAAGCATTAAACGTAAAATTTAACAGCTGTGGTGACAAGGGATTTTGAAGCACCGCCAGACAACCCGAACAGAGATCCTGATTTTGTTATTTTTCAGAGAACAGCCGGGTAATTTACCAAGTTTGAAAGAGCACACACAGATTTGTCATCACCACGTTCTAGCTCGATCACAGCGTAGTTTGTTCCAGGTTTTTCTTGAAATTCTGGAAGAGGAGTTAAAAAAATCTTTTTGCTTTCCGTTCCTAAGGGGGATCGCGTGTGATGGTAGCTGATGTATTACAGTCAGTGCACGTTATCTTCATTGCGTTCATATCATGTCTCTCGAGAGATACCCCTGCTCTTGCATGTCCTGTCGCGAGACCTCTGAGAGGGGTTGTAAAGTATTTTTAGATTTAATGGGGACATGGATTTTATCTTTACGTAGGAGGAAACCAAATGGAGATGGAAGATTTCCAACTAGAGATGTAAGGTTAATTCAGTGACAATTTATGGGATTAACATTGAACAGGTTAAAGGTACTTAAAAGGCAAACCAGCTTCCTTCCTTACACTGAAATGACCAGTTTCTAGTCCACGAACGGTTGTGTGGAGCAGGGCGACTGTTCTTCTCGCACGATTTTTACACCAAACGAATTATCCTACTAAATCGTGAGTTGACGTCTGAAATGAATTTTGGGATTGAGTTAAAAAGCTGTATTTTTGAAATAATGAATAAAAATTATCATGTAAGCAGAGCATTTAGGGAACCTGGGAGGTGATTTATCGTTTTCTTGAATGTATAACTTAACTCGTCAGCTTATAGTGGGCATGTTGTATTTGTCAATATTTTTCGGCTTTCACTGTAGATGTTGTCTTATGCCGGTGGTGTTGGTGTGACTGGTGTGACATGTTAATGATGTACGTTACCTTTTGCTTCTTAGTGATTCACTCTCGTGGGGTAATAAGAAACTGATATTCTGATGATTGACAAACTAACATCATATTTACAATATCCGTCCGAAGAGTTTCTAACTTGCATATTCTATCCCCCCTCCTACAAAAATCATTTTAAAACTAATTTATTGGGGGGAAGGGGTACTAGAACGTCGTTTGGATAAGTACGGTTTTGCAGCCCATTACTCATACGCTGTCTTATTTTTCCGCGGTCAGTCAGTTTTGTCCGACTAGAAATTGTCAGAGGCCTGGTAGAAAAAATTTAAGGGAGGGTTTCGTCTTATGTCGCTAGCAAATACTGGTCAATCGGTTTTTATAAAGGCTATGGGAAAACCAAAAGCAAGAATGGGAGAACTAAACCTTCGGCTGGTTTCAGATCGATTACTGGTTTAAAAAAAGATTATGGAACGCACGGGATTACATGCTGGAACAGGTAACTGCATAGATCGACACGACTCTCGAAGCTGAATATGTGGCCTATTCTAAGAATTTTACTGTAAGAAATGATCCACTCTCTCCTGACATGACCATAATACAGAAACGCAAGGCGTTGATTTTCGGTGTACAAGAACAAGAGGGGAGGCTCTCATTTTGAGACTCCTGACGAGGAATTGCGAGGGATCCCTGTTTCAGTTCATGTTGTGAATGATTTGTCAGATAAGTACATGGTTTAAATTTCGATTTGTCCAGTTAAGGAAAACCTGTTAGGTACCGGTCTATTGTGCTTGTTAAACTAACGACGAAGTCGTTTGCAACGCTTCCAAATGGGATACCTCTTTATCAATGTATTATCGCAGAAAAAGACTAACAAGCCCCAAGAGTCAAACATGTTCTAAAAATTATTAGGTACAGTGTGTGTTTACATGATACGACGGTCAGGCCAAATGTTGGAGGCGAGGTCATGAACTAAAACAGAGTAATTCCTTACTCCACCAACAGGTTTAAGAAACACACAGGAGAAATTTTTTAACTAAAACGCGTCCTTATATTTTATCTAGTGTCCCTTTTTTAGTACTGAAAGGCGTATCTTTTGGTCTCATTTTCAGGTGCGATATTCATAACAGCTCTCAATAACAGAGCGGGTCACCCATCGGCAGTATATTCTGCCGGTAGCCTTGTATCCAAATGTCATCAAATAGCGGTGGAGATTTGTGCGTCTTGGCCCTATAAGAATTACGTGATTGTAATGAGATAGGTATCATCGTCAATCCCCACAGTACGTGTTCAGAGCAGTCATCTTATGACCTTGACCGTGCTACGCAACATGTTGAATCGTGTTTGATCAAACTTGCTCTTTGAACGCGAAACACGTGTTCGTGTAATGTAGGCCCAGTGACAGGTAAACCCAGATAGCGCCCCAACAACGCCACGCGTACAGCCGTACGGCGTTTTCCGAAATGGTAGACGGAGGAAGGAAGGAAAATCGCTTTTCGGGCGTCTCAGAGTTGACATCTACTGCGAAGAGGGTGAAATCGAGGTTGTTGAGTTGGATTTGGAGGTAATAACATTTCTAGTCACCCGGCTAATTTTTTATCGTTTCAGGTACTTGCCCCTGCCTCGCGCAGGAATCCATGAAGGAAGATCCATGGTCAATTCCCTGTATGCAACAAGTCTAGCATAAAAAATGTACAAAATGTCAGTGGGTACACCCACAAATAATATTGTTTACTCTATGTGTTTCTCCCTCGATGTGAATTTACTCTAGTATAAAACGCACTTTCAAAACTTTGCAAACAGTGGCCTCCGTGATCCTAAGGGGTGCAACGCCTCTCTGAGAATCGCAGAACTGAACATCGCTGCATTCTCCAACGCTGAAATTAATTCAAAACCACTAGAGTGTGAGTTCGATAACGAGTGTGTTTCACGTGTACTGAATTTGATAGAGTGCTTTCAAATATTCAGGTTACTTAACGACAAGTTGGTCAATTTCAACTTCAGAGAAAAAAAAGTTAACCGTGGAAACAGCGGATAATAGCGTGCCGTAAGCCATTCATCGAAAGTCAGGCTGAGAAATGATTTAATAGACATAAAAGACAATTGATTTTACAAATTGATATTTGACGTCTTCGACAAGCAGTTTTATGACGTAAACGCTGACTTAAGACTTCTTTGTATTATTTTAGTGACCACAATCTCTCGCGTTAGTGAGAGAAGGAAATTGCGAGTCAGTAATCTTTTAAAATTATTCTTAATTGTTTTTGTCGGCTTCTTTCAGTACCTTGAATCACGCAGAGCTGTTTAGCTCAGTTGTTTAGCTCAGTTGGGAAACGGATTTCCGCCCACTCTTACATTTTCGAACCAAAACACTGCAAACCATCCTAAAAAGTGTTTGGAAACTGATTAAGGGGCATCATCGTTTACGTAGGACTGATCAATCACGCAAGACACGGCTATTTGAAGATAGCTAAATTTGATATCTTTGGATATTCGACGCCTGGAGAGGGTTGACAGTTGAGGAATCCAACATCTAAGGATTTTTCAGAATTTGAGAACATAACTGGGCGATTAATCAGAACAAACAGTCTTTTTTCGCTGAGGCAGTATGTCGCGGCTGTTGTTGTAATTGTTGTCGCCATTGTTGTTGTTGTTGTAACTGATATCAGCGTTGCAACTGCTCTTGCTCCAGTTAATTTCATCAGATGGACTTGCATAAAAAGCGCAAATTGAAACAAAACGGTAAAAGTCACCTCTGATTTTGCTCGCTCTCAATTTCAATATTTTCTGAATCTTAAACGGCACCGGCACAACGATAAAAGAAAAATGTCAGCTTTTGAGAACAAGTTATCGCTCAAACGGCTTAAAAACAGACAGAAAGTTCCGGCAATTTGCGCACAATATAAACGTGCTCGTAAAATCTTCGTATAAAATTTGTCACAAGTCTTCTGTTAGCGCCTTTTCATTGGCACTAGTGACAGACGCCCTTTACCCTCTCTCCGGAAGGAAGCAATCTTATACCAAAGAATTTTACAGCACGTGTCTTAACATTATACTCAAAGAAATATTTTTTTAAAAGAATTCTTGTCCAAGTAGCTGTCACATTAAAATTTTTTCCTGACCAGCGAGTGTCGATAGTATTAAGTAAAAAGTTATGTGAGGTCCACTTCTTGGTGAAATAAAAATCACTAATGGCATTTCCTGAAAATTTCTAACGGGTAGAAGTTTTGATGTTTCTGATATCGCCTACTCGGAAAGGGCTTTTACAAAAATACTTCAGGCTTCAAACACGTGTTTTCGTGAGGTCGGCGTTTATAGTTCGTTTAAACTACACAATTACCTTACGTAATGACATGGATGACGCTGGCAGTAACCTCTTCATATCATCTTAGAATGACTTCTGAGAAGAAAATATTTATACATGTATTTTATACACATATACTTGTTCTATGGAGCTCAAAGTTCAGACAATAGCCAGCTACATCTGACATAAATATCTCGCTTCTAATCTTAGTAACAGAAGGACTAAAGTTTAGGTACTCCAGAATTTCTGAATAAAACGTGAGTTCAAAATCCACCGAGTTAGAATTCATAATAGTTGGGGAGAGAAAAGTACTCAACATCTTCGGAAATCACTCTCTGACTACAAACATCCTGTAACGAGGGACTTAATAGTGTGGTTCCGAGATCCCCAGGTGAACTTCTAGAATCTCTTCTGCCTCACTAATCTATTCCGTTAATTACACTCCTTAGCTATAATACCACAACTCCACATGGGGTAAATCATACAGACAGCGGTTGTCACGATGGGCTGAAGCAAATGTAATATATAAGGGGTTGTTCATGAAACGACACTAGTTTGACCCTGCGTGCAAGCGTACAAACAGTTCATTGGAAGGCTCTCATCGCATCGTAAACGTTGAAGGTAAAGTCTAACCTTTTTTTTTAGCTGCCACAAACTTATCCGTATGCCCTCGACACTTCGATGATATGTTATAAAGTAATACACTGCAAATCTCGTCTTCGTTAAAAATTTTTCTAGCATGCGTGCCAAATAAAATTATGTTGCGGTGATCGGTGGTTGATTTTCGACAATTTTTAAAATTTTACATTTCAACAAGAAAATGGAAAAAAAAAAAACCAATTCGTTTCAGTATGAACCGCTGTAGTTTGGGTTGACAGACTTACGCAAAACAATTGCAAAAGCTGCTAAGATGTTTTTCTACTTTTCCAAAAGGGCGGTAGCTAGGTGTACCTTTGGCCAACACGCACACATCCCTTTTTGTTTACTTTGAAAGCGAAGGGCTACTCACCGGTGTGGTTGAGTGAGTTGCTGCTCTGCTTTCTTGAGGACTTTCACGTCAAGCGCTAAGCGCCCCTTGTTGACTTTCAAAATATCACGAGGTCGACCAAAGGGTTTTCTTTTCCCACGCTTGAATGCGGGGAACTTGTTTGCTGGCCAACTGTGGCTTAAGCCATCGTTTTGAATCCCATTTCAAGGGATTTTCTGATCTTAAATAATTTTTTTTCGCATTTATAAAGCGATTAAAAAAATATCCAACCACAGAATTGTTAACATGATAATATCTGGATTATGTAATAAATAACTATTCGCGATTATCATTATCACAAGGAAATTGGAGATCATCGTCAACCATTTGTAGGATCACAAAGATATATTTTATCAGTTTCAAGCTATTTCGTTCGGTAAGAAGTCTGTGGATGAAACTTAGGAACTTTGATTGAAAGCCATGCACTGTGGTGATCATAAAGATCGTAAAGATCAGAGAACAGGAAAATTGAAAAGTCTGGTATGTTTCCCTCATTAGGCTGTAGCGGCATTGTAAGAATCGTTTCTAGAGGTCAAAGGCGTTTTCATAGTCTTGAGGAAATGATCATGATCATGACGATCAACTTTTAACTTCCTTGAAGAGATTGTGCTTCTTTTTTGGAATTTGATGACCCGATTAAGAGGAAGATTCGCCTGTCTCGGTTTCAGGCACGCTGCATACATATAAATCAGGATATCACCGCTACAGTAACGACGATAGATTCACTACGGTAACTTGTAACTCCCATTTGGCAACTTGTAACTCAATCGACAGCAGATTAGATCACATCTGGAGCACAGCATTAACGATTTTTCAAGCAATTAATGACCAATATTTTATGCTTTGCATTTCCTTTCATTGGAAGCTTCGCGAATCTTCACGAAACTCCAAAAAATCTTACATTCTTGAGCAGCGTCATACAGTATTTACTTTGCAGAGCGCGTATGGTATAACCCCCCCCCCCTGCTCCTATCCCCTCAAGCTCTTCTCCCCTATTCTGAGTTTTACGCCGTTGTTCTTAACGGTCCATGGGTATTTCTCGTTTTGCAGGGGAGGGGTGGGGGCTGTTTGGAGGGCAGAAAAAAATCATTTGATCTATTACAATAGCCATTAAGAGATACAAAGCTCGTGTTCAACACGATCTTGCCCGTTGGCAAGACTACTTGAAAGCCTGAAATATCCAGCAGGACTGGCATTAGTAGTGGCTTTAATGTAGTATTTAATGTAGTATTTAATGCAGTATTTAATGTAGTATTTAATGCAGTATTTAATGCAGTATTTAATGTAGTAAATTTACTAAACGAATCGAGTTTTCTCTGTATCTCAATGTTTTCTGGTACCGATTTAATATTTCCCTTTTAATCATAAAGAGCGACACCGCCCTTTGCTTTAATCAAGAGACAGTAATTTATCCTGTTTTTTCATATTGGGCGCATTTTCCTAAATGCGCATTCGTACCGGCGGAAAACATATTCTAAGGAGAGCAGTCTCTGATTCCGGAATGTTCAGTTCATATCCTTTCTTTTTATTATGTTTCAGGAGCGTTCAAAGAACTATTCCTACCTTTGATTTTTGTCGGAATACACCACCGAGTCATGTTCTTAATTTGTAGCGAAGCTATTTCACATATCCACGCACTCATCACTCAAACATTTTTTGGCCTCATTCCCGTGCACTGAGTAGTCATATGATGTCGTCATGGTAATCTCATTGACGACTCTAGACGCGAGATTACATATCACACCTGTATTCTTACCTACTTTGTTACCTAACACATACAGTTGAACTTTCGATAGATCTTCAAGCCACTCGTTATTCAGTCACGACTACATTTCCGTGTGCTAAAGCCAGATTTTCAAAATTACTCAACCTGTTAGTTGAAAGGCATATTAGTGATACCATGCAGTAGCAAGTTAGATTAGGAAACTTTAAACTTACCTAAATGCAGAAAATCTTAGATGTTTTTATTTTTTAAAACATTTTGATGATCTTAGCGGAAGATATCAAATCACTTTTTTCTTAATCGGAAAATGTCCTATTAATGAACTGGTTTCAGCTCTTAGCCAGTATAAAACTCTTGTTATATTTAGCGATACTTGCACGTGTTTTAAAGCCTGTTTCAAATATGACACGAGTTTATCAACATCCTCTATATTTGTACTCGTGAGTGGTAATCAAATACAAGGCAGTCGGCTTTCCTTTGCAATAAATCGGCTTATTTCGAATGACCTCTATCTTCATTTATTTTTATTCTTATTTTACTGGCGTGGCCGTAATACAGCTTAGAGCTGTTAGTGCTAGACCATCTAACGAATATTTCGTTATGTTCACGATCACCAGCATTGCTCAAATCATGAAAATTCTTATCTCCTGAAATGGAGGAACAATTTAATGATGTGGGATAAAGAAACCTCAAACATTTCTATTGGAAAGTGTTCCTCTTATTCATTCAGTGAGACAGTTACTTGCTTATTTGTACCCAAACCGGACTCAACAGTCTTGTGCCACAGACAGTCGCTACCATCACCTCTTCTTATCAGAGCTTAGAAAGTTTTAGCTTAAGTGTTAATGATATGTTAATAGCAAGTCGTTGATGTTTCTTATATTACTCTAATTACGTCGTTGAATGTATCAATCATATTTAATGAATGTTATTTTTGGAACAAAACCTCTTAGAATTGGCGACCAAAGGTTCTTGAATATTCTCACCAGATTATTTTCTCTTCCTAGACAACAAACGATAGCATCAATTTCTTGCAAAAGCCAACCTTTGTTAGGTTAGGCTGGCAAAACCTTTTGTCTTCATTATTGTTTGCGCTTTTAAGCTATGTGGCGAGAAGGGCAGGAAGTGGTGATTCGAATTTTTTTGATTGAGTAAACATGATATGTTTATAATATACGGAGCTTTCAATGCAGTTTTTTACAAGTTCAGATGCAAAAAAAAAAAAAAAAAAGGACGAGAAGCGGGGCATGCGCAATGGCAAGAGTGCTCACCTATTCAGGTGTTCTACCTGAGTTGAGTGTGTTGTTGGTTCCAATCTTTTAGTACTCAGACGGTTATTATTGTGTTATTCGGACTCAACGCGATGCCTTGTTCCCAATGAATCCTAACGATTACAGTTTCCGAGAAAATAAAGTGTTTTTATTGAAAGAAGTACCTGTAATTCCAATCTCCACTTTGCTTTATTACTGGAAATCCTCAGCTTGGGATAATATGCCATTGCTTTGGTTACTGTAATCAATTCTGTGATTGGGGAATTCACTGCCTAATGTAAATTCCCGACTACAGGTGTCCAGTTTCAACCAAATTTCCGATTACACTGTCCATTTGCAACTGTACAAAATTATTCGATGAAATGTGATAGCTATGATTAGGAGAGTGATGTGTTTTCTGTCAATGGGCAAATTAGCAGATCTCTTCAAACGCATGATGGGTATCCTTGGGTTTCTTTGAATTTTTTTTACAACAAAATTCCAACCTTTTTAGCGATACCGAAGCGTTCTGTATTTGGTCGCCCAAATACAAGACTTCCTTGATTTCTTTGCGGAAACGTCTGACTGGCCATATCAAGATATTTACTATTGTACCAAATCATGTAGGTCTTTTCTAGATTACGCAGGTGAGGCTGTTTCGTCAAAGCGGGGGAAGTTTCACTGACAACAAATAAGTATCATTTTAGAATTTGGCGGTTTTTTTGGGTGGTAATTCTTCTCTGTGCTGTATGCGCTGATCTGTTTTTGTTTTTGTTTTTGTTTAATCATAACTTACATTTGATGCCTTAACATCACGACAACATCTTAATAAGCAGTTTTGAAATTTTTTTTTTAACCTAACCCTCCCTCCCACTCGCCGAAATGAAACACCTTTTCGGGGAGCTTGACGAGCTAATGAGGCTCTGCACGTGAAAAATCTTAATGATACAGAAGACTCAAGATCAATTTCTACACTCCATGTCTGGTACAATATGAATGGTATTCATCTCATTAAAGCCTACTATTACTTTCCAGCCGTTTGACTCTTGATTTCCTACATCTAATCAAATTGAAAAGTCCACCTTGAAAATGGACTATTTTAGAGCTATAACAAACAAATCACGTTCTCTTTCTATCACCACTTATTCACACATGTTACAAATCCTTATTCCTTGCTGCTTCTCGCTATGGGCTAGCGTGACGTTTTAGCCGTCTGTTTGAACTTCGACTCTCTTTGAGGTCGCGAATAAGCCCATACGGAGACGTTTGTATAAGCATTTAGGGATATGATATTTGAACTGTTTTTACTTATACTTGGATGGGACACAGCCTTGTCAATACCTTTTAGATTGTACGATTATTCTAAATATAGATAACCCAATTGAAAAACTTAGACTGAAATATTACAGAGTCTCATGCAATACCTGACAAGTGGAATGGAGTTTTTATCTGCCCTTTAGCTTTTATAATATTTTGATTTAAACTGCTTTTTAAATGGCCCCAGAATTACACGAGAGGATATTTAATGCAGTTGAACATGCCGCAGATTTCCATCTTCAGCTCTTTTATTTCCCCATAGAATTCGACCAATTTCCGGTGTCATCAGAGGCCACAGACAATATAAGCATCTAATAAAGTAAATTTTTTTCAAGATAAGTTTTCAGTCTGAAGAGTGAACTGGTATAGTTGTTCTTTAATCATCCTGGTTTACGCATGAAATATCTGCTTGCTTACTTTAAAGATCTGCTTTTTTTTCTGGAAAACTGTGAATTATATCATGGGAAGTGCAAATTAACGAGTTAGCTCAGACCCTCACGCAAATCGCTCCGTAGATTTCCCCTCGAAAGATTTTGTCGGATTATGTCTTGCGCATGATCTTGTTAGGTTAACAACCACATCCTAGTGGCTTAGTTTTCTCAAACTGCTTGCTTATTCATTGGTCATAGGCTAGTTTCTAATGTTATTCCCAGCAACTACGCAGTGACTAGAATAAGTTTAGAGACGCTTTTGAGACGTCTTAAAGTCTTTATACTTCCGTTTTCAAATATTGCAATGAGATTAAAAATTCAACCAAACATTGTTAGAGCTTTATCAGTAGAAATGCTGGCAACTCTCTAGATCTCATAAGTGTGACGGTAACCTGGCTTTAACTTTTCGACGGTATATTCCAAAAACTTTCTGGACATTAAGAAGAATGAAATGGCCACCGCCTATGGGAGTGAAACAGGCGGCTAAACTTAGGACTAACATATCCACTAAATTTTATTAGGGTAATAATATATCATTGAAATAATCGGTCTAGATAGAACATGAACGACACTTTTTAAAAAGCATTTCCGGAGTCTTAGATTACAGTAAACTTGAAATTAGTGAGTAGTAAGAGGTTTAGGAGGATAGATTTTAACAATTGACACCCTGCAGTTATTAGTAAAAGGAATATCCCTGCCCAACTCATTTCAGTGTCCTGCCGTCGGTCGTGGTTGAGTGATAACCTTGATATACCGAGAAATATTCTATGACAAAGTCCTCTAATAACTTCAAAAAGAGGGATTTTACCACTCTTCATCAGAGGTGTGGAGGTAACCAACTTGTTAAATTTATTTGCAAGAATTGTATCGAACATCATTTAGTAAACATATCCAGTTCTATTGGCTTACTATGGTGCAACATAAAAGGGGTTGCAAGAGCAAGTTGGTCATTGCAAAAATGGTGTTAACTTGCCAAGCTCGGATAAATCGAAAGCGAATCGATTCACGACCATCATGTCATTCAGGGGTCTAGACTTGCTTTTCTATCATATTAAGAGACTTTACAGTCAGTAATACTCTGAGCAAGTGTTTCGCATAGATGACTCGTGAGTTTAAGTCCGAATCCTTGGAGTTGATATTTGTTGGGTGGAAACTTTTGTAGTCGAGACAGGTGGAAGATAATGCCTTTCTCTTGGCTTTGCTTAACCCCCTTGTCCAGTCCATTTTCAATGACTCAGGTCCTAACGTTTTGTATTTTGTTTACTTAACAGATAAACATGGCTAAATCAAGAATATCCTGGCTGCAAATTCTTTGTGTAATTTTGGTTGTTGTTCTCCTTCTAGAAGCAGTTGAGAGCAGGGTAAGCGATAAAGACGTGATAGACCTCTTGTCATTTAACTGCCTCATTAATAAATTAGTGGCAAATTCATCTCCTTCTTAAACAGTCTAACAGCTATAATTAAATGAAGAACTATTTAAAATGGGGAGTCGCATTAATCTGGAAATTGTTCATCTTACACGGCTTTAAATTGACTTCTTAGAAGACAGTGCTTGTTGTCAGATGAAAAGGGTAATTTGTCCCAGTTCCATCCAACAGATAAATATCCACGATAACGATGGTATATGTATTAAGGCTGAGCTTTCAACGTCCTTACCTTAAAAGGAATGTTAAAGAGACATAACAGGAAAATCGATCTTCAGACTTCTTGACAGAGTTCCAAATTCTTTATGCTTAACCTTTTGCGGTTTTAATTTGGTCCTATTTAACGAATTTCACTAGATGTTTGTTAATTGGGTACTCAGCCGGCTGGCTAAATGGAATCCAAGATTACATAACTAAGCTTGTCGAGAATGAGGCTGTTGCATCGCCTAAGGGTCACCAATTGCAAACACAGGACTGTTGTTTAAGGATTTGCTGCAGACAAAATATAATGCTCAATAGCTATTGACAGGACGCCAACGTAAATAATCATCACCAGACATTTTAGCTCATTTGACTAAAATACAGAAAGTAATGAAGATATAGGCTGTTCCTTTGACATTTTTCTAAAAGAGGAGCTCGGGAGATTTCCTAACATTGAAAGACTATTCAGAGCAAATCTACAAGACAGAGTCTCTCCAACACAAATTGATTTGATCCATGTATAAACATTTTGATTCACTGTTATGTGTAGCTTTCTGAAATTTCTCTGCCTCACTCACCGACATTTCTCCAATCAAAAGTTCCTGGCTAAGGTTCTATTTTTTTTTTTTTTTTTTCATTTTAAGGGGGGAGGGGAGAATTTCTTGAATGCTTATCTCGATTTGCATACTTCTTGTATTCGTGATTACTTCAGGGAGTGGCGTTGTTTCTCAAGGCTTCTTTAGAGGGTCAATGTTCAAATCATTAAAAACTGAGCTTCTTATTTAAAACTAAGATTTCCGTTTAACCATCTAGACTCCATTGAAAGCGGATACGGGAAAATGCGTGGAAATTGCGTCTTAAGTTAGAAGCAATCTCAGAGTCGCAGAGAATGTTGAAGACTTCACAAGATCTAAATGTTTTTTTTAAGAATAAGACCTTCTAGATTGTTTTGCCAACTGAGGCAAGACCTAAATGCGTGATTTGCAACCGTAAGAGATGAACATTGTCACATTCCCTTTTATACGTGAATCCCCCCTCATCCCCCTCCCTCCGCGTAAAAGGAAAGGTCAATAACAAAAAACTGATTTTTTCTTAAGAGAAAGATATCTTGTCAATAAGTCTTTTACAATGAGTCTTTTACACACGGGTCTCCCCCATCCCCGCGTAAAGCAAAAAGATCGCTTTTCTTTGTATCATTCTCGTTTTAGAGAGATATCTCCTCCATGATAAAAATTGCCCTGGAGTCTTGGGCGTGAAAAGGAATTTTGAATTTTTGTTTACAATGAAATTATCTTTGTAGAAGACTGAAAATTCGGCCTATAACCATTTTTTTGCTAGGCTATCACTCCCAAATTTTTATTAATAATTAGAATGTTTCAGAACGTCACGGGAATAGCCGTTGTCATCAAAGGGAAACTTTCTCTACGATCTTCGTGTGACTGATCGATTTGCAGGATTACACCAGGCAGCATGCTCCCTAGGGTTTAAATATTATTCCTGCTTGAGGGATTATCCATTCACAACAACCACACTGCACTTCCGAATCTAAAGAACTAAACATTGATGCCTTAAGTTGATACAGATGTTTTGTTGACACGGAGGTGTGCCATTTTAGCCTCTAGTTACATGTCAAATTACCAATTCCCTGCTCCAAGTGAACAAAATCAATATATATTTTGAACAACATAGGGAAAGCTCCATTGTTTAGTCAGACTTCTCGTTTGAAACAAAATTTTAATTTGGTATACGCAAAGTATTCACTTTGCGGCATTCTATTTAGCTTGTAACATTAGGATACCAGATAACTGCCTCTCGTGTACATTTGTGCAAAATTTATAATTATCTCTTTCAATTTTAAAATTGACAAAAAGAGGAAAGATAGTAAACGAATACCAGATAACTTATATAAGTTATTAAAATTAATTCAAATAGCACTTCACCAGAATTTACGATTTTTTGGGGGGAGAGGGAGGGGAAAAATGAGGTCCAGATGTTAGGAGGTTCTCCGATTGTAAACCAAAGGAGATCGTTCATAAGATTCACTGCTTGTTAGCAGATTAACCTAGGAACAAGGCCACGTCAAAGTCGCGATGGGTGTCTGTCAGCATGGAAAATGAGATAACAGCGGAAAAATATAGAGAATTCTTTATTCTCTTTGGGTGCACTACATGGAACTAACAAGATTAACGCTCCTAGTAGACATGGTGGTCCCAAATTATGAATTTATGCTGGGATAAAAGTAAGGTAAAGTAGATTTACTTTTCCCCCTAAGTTTCACATCCTTCTTAGCACACTTCTTATCCAAATCGTACAAATGGTAATGGAGAGTGTCCAAACTAAACCGAGAATCCTCTGAAATCTAGATTAAACCACACGTATGTCGATTTAAACGTATGATGAGTATACGGCTACTCCAGTACGTGCGTTGTGCGTCTGATGGTCTCGGTTGGCGATGCGAATGGGGTTACTAACGGCATTAATTTTAATACAAGAGTTGTTGGAAATTCTAAACTAAAGGAAAAATGCAAACCCAGCGTTCGTATATCATAACTTCTCAGGGAGAAGTATAAGTATAATCTGTTGCATTCAACACAGATTATCCTTTGAATCTTCCACATATCCAGGGGGTAGTGCGTCCGATTCAACACCTGCTGGGAGACCTTTCAGATTTGCAATAATAGGCCAGCATCATAACTCTTCCCTTATTGGAAATTCATTGTATTCTTGCTTCTTGAGTTCCAATATTAGTTAATTAAGTTAAATGGGATAGACGGTCTATGTCTCCACTAGGTATTAAATATTGAGTGCTGCTGAACTGAGGAAAGCCATCATTGTCTAAAACTTCGTATGACACGAGAAACTTTATTTGAATGACTAGAGTAAAAAATATTGATATTATATAAATGCTGCTAAGCAAAACACACGATCGCATATTTGACAATGTTAAGACGCCGTTCATGCAAACAGCTTCGCATTCAAGGATTTGGGCTGTGGACAATCAAACTATTTGTAACCACTGTAAGGTAATAAATGATCTTAATGGAGAGCTATACCTTTCAAGCAAGCGACAAGCTGCCTGTGCCCCTTCCGGCTGTGATACAAAACTTAAAATGACCGCACATAAATTCTTTCAGTAGCCTTTAATTGAAATCAGTCCTTAGAATCAAGGCGTAAGGACAAAATACCTTCTTGGGTTGGTTTAAAAGAATATTCGTAAGCAAGCATTACAAGTTCGCAGCAATGTAGCGAGAAATACCCCCATTGTGACTTTTTGTGTCTTCTCTTGAACTTTCAGCCATCCAAGAAAAGCAAGAAAAAGCCTCGCGTGAAGCAATGCGGAAACGAGGGTCATCTTTGCCAATCAGGTTCAAGGAAGGTAAGGAGTAGAACAATTAGCTGGAACTTGAAGGATTTTACAAACAAACACAAAAGGCAAGCAGACAAAGATTTGTGTTTGTATATTTTGCTTTACATATTCATAGAATGAGCTGTTTAGAATAAGTGAAGTAGTCATTTACGCTGCGTACATCCAGGGGACAATTGCGAAATGAATTCATGAAGCATCGTTTGTAGTTTTACTCTTCTGCTTTATGACTTGCGCTTTCCTTCTTTTTTTTATTTTGTCAACAGCTTTGCTGCAACGCTGGTTTCACTTGTCACGTACCTACTTCCTCACCCAATAAGACGAAAAAACTCAAGAGAAGAAAAAAGTTGGGAATTTGCAAACCAGTTAAACCGCAAGAGAAAGAAATTGACGAATCCCAAAAGAAACCATAATTTTGGTTTCCAAAGTCGACAAAGGAAAACAATAGTCTTCTTCGGGTGAAAATAAGGAAAACTCAAGGCCATCTCGTGGACTTTAGACAGGATACCTAAATAAACATAAGATTGCCAAACCAGACCATTACGTGGCTAACGGCGAAGAATAGCCAGCACCATTGACCTACATTCCGACCTCAACTAGACGGTTCTTTCTAACTTATTAAGGCGGTGGTATTGGCGTTATTTATGTTTGAAGATTTATTTATATACTTCGACAAGAAAAATTACAACGGTAACATTAAAGATCGTAAACCATTATGTATTTTGTAACACTAAAATTTTTCTATTTAATTGTATTTGATGACTTTTATTATACAATTGACTTCAAGATTGAGGCAATTTAGTAAAACAAAGGAAATACGCGAAAAAGAAGAGAACCAAGGCTATGGAATTTTTTGTAAGACATCATCCCTGGTCCACGCACACAGAAGTGTTTTTTTGTTTTTCAACCGTCCCAATTCATTTTGCTAATCATCTGCAAATGGAATGTTATTTCATGCTTAATGGATGGCTAGATAGGAAGAGTATTTTATCGAATTGATGAATAGTTTTAGTCTATAAACAAATAACATGTGAGCTTTGGTGTTACTGAGACGTCATGTTCCACACCCTCGCCATACACGTGCATTGACTGGGATGGCTCAAAAGATAAAATTCCTGATTCCTGAGCTGTGATTGGATGATGCTGATTAGTTAGATTGTTACCGCTTATGATGTCCGCTGCGCAAATGATTGAAGGCAGCATGAAACGAAATTGCAGGACCCCAGAGCTCGTATGTTTACGCCAAAAAACAAACAAATAAACAAACAAAAGAGAAACTTCTTCGACCTAATCGCCACTCGTTTGCAAAACGAGTTTACCTTCATTAAGAGATTTTTCTATTGTAGAAATTTTTCCCTCGGTTTTAGCGTGATTCGTTAGATTTCGCTCCAAAGAAAGGTTTCAGTAAATTGAAGTAGAGTGGTGCATCCTGTATGTGGCCCTCTTTATATAATTGGCCTTGCTATCTGATTCTCAGCCACGGATTTTAAAACACTTCTGTTGAATGTCAAGATAGAAAAAACCACAAGGGTTCATTGTTGCTTTGTACCTGTCGTAGTATGGAAACAAAATTATAAAGAAAGTAATACTTTGGGTAACCAAACGGCCGTGGCTTAAGAAACCTTTAGGGCGACTTCCCTGTGCATGCCTCGCGTCCTATCATCTCATTTCTTTATATCTGGTCTATTTTTAATGATAACCGTCTATGTGGGATTGATGAATCGTCTGTTGAAACTATTTTTGTTTAACAACAAACATATGAAACATATGAGTGAACTGTTTAGTTACCAAGAGGTTACTGGTGTCACGATTTTAGACTTTTTTACATTTCACAGAACTTGGAAAAAACGCTATGATATATGATCCATATTTTTAAGATATTGTAAGCTTTTCAGTATTTATTTTGCTTAGTCGAACTGAATATTAATAAATACTGATTTTTTAAAATGGAAATAAAGACTTAATTTAAATTTCTGGATGGCAATTTTTTTAAACATAGACGCGCAGTATTGCTGGGTTTTCAAGAAACAAATTGTTATTTATCATGTTCACATTAGAGTGAAATGTTTAATCGTAAGCTTTTTTTATGTACCTTAGTGCAATCTATGGTCTTACTATTTCCAACTGCAGCTTTTTAATAAAACAGTAGGTAGTCCTGTGTCAGACATTAGTCTTTTAATAATAATGTTATATCAACTTATCTAACTTTATATTTTCGCCCTCTCAAACTCATCAATTCATTAGGTCAACTACTAACAGCAGAGGTATACCACTTCGTGCATGTGGCTGGATACCACAGGATATCATTTTCCAGTGAGAGTGGTATATACCATTCTCAAATTCATAAATAATTTATGAGGGCAACAGCCAATAAATGAGGCATATTTGGGTCACATGCATGAACCTTGATATTCAATGAACACTCAGATGAAATCTTGAGGGTTTTTATTTGAGATGAAATATGATTTTGATCTCAGATCAAACATTTGCATTTTAATGAGCATTTTCATTAATTAATAGATCGCTAACAACAATTCCAAAAATGACCTACATATCATTTCATAAACGGTCTTCGGTGAATATCTCTCCCCCAACTTTCATCACAAACTTGCTAAGCTAGTAATTCAAGGTTACTGCATCTATTTCTTCAATACTAGTAGAAAGCTGTGCGACCTTGAATAAATTACAGTCATTAAAATGTACTCCTGGATCGAAAACAGGAGCTATAACCGACCGAGAAATTTGCCATTCGCCAAAAATTGTTACCGCCCATTTGTTCTTACATTTGGTAAACGACTTTTCGACTAACTCGCGTTCTTCGTAAACCGTTTTCGGCTCCCTAAATCTTGCCGCGCCGTCTTCACTCATGGTCACACATCAACTACACTAAAATAATTAATCATCCATGCATCTTAACGTAATGTTACGAAAAATGGAAAAATTACATCGCTCCATAATCATATTGTTCTTTCATTTGGGGAGGACAATGGAAAAAATTTATCACTGCATTTTTTGTTATGTTTCATTTGAGAAGTCATTTCAAAAACTTGTGCTTCGTGTTTCATCAGGGGTTCCAACTGATCCACATCGACAATTTTCCCAAAGTCAACGAATATTTATCAGTCACAACCTTACTTGGTTTGAGCCCATTGACAAAAACATTTATCTCACAATCTTTAGATTTGAGATATTCCAAAAATAAATTTTTTTTTCCACACGTTTTCTTTAGCCTTTCATCTACAGGAACTTCGTTCCTCATTTCTTCCGTCTTAAACTTTACTTTGATACAAGGACAAAAATGGTCGAACCATGTTTAGCTTGATCTTCGTTGGCCTCTTCATATTTAAACAGTGCGTTAGATACCCGTCGCCCAGTACGTTCCTTGATGAGTTTTCCGTTTACCCCACTCTGGGATTACCCAGAAGCACATGTACTGAACTCTAAGACAATGGTTTGTATTTTCCCCAACTGCGGAGCGCAAATCTAGCAACATTTTATTTCATGATTTCATCCCCACTGGAATCTTGTAAAAACCCCAATTTTTGAGGATTAGGCTTGAAGTGAAACGCACAGCTATCTTTCCCAAATATTTAACATAAACCAAGATGTAAACAATATAATTAAACATAGGCATAACTCATAGGACTGACCTTTCGGATAACAAATGCGTCAGTCATAGAATGTGGAATGTATTTCAGATCACATCTACCGCCCTGAAATTTTTTCGAGATATCTGAACGCTTTCTTCAGTAGAGCATGCGCACTATCAAAAACTTGAGCCTGCAAAAAATATCAGCGGTATTTGTGTTTGTTTACTTAAATTTTCAGTACGTGTCGCTCGGAAGTCTTGAAGACTGACTAACTACAAGAAATGATGTCCGCAATTAGGACAGAAACAAAAGAACGGCAAATAGTCTTTTATTTGGACAGATGATGAATTCGACTTAAAATCACAATGAAGTACAAAGTGGCCAAGACCATCGAAAACGTTGAGTGGGAATCATGTCAAACAAAGTACTCTGATATTTTAAACCGTTTTCTTGAGCAATATTCTTTGCCAGAAGGTGCCCCGTTCCGTTGACAAGGATTATCCACGCAGGAAAGACTGAATCTGGTGTCGTTGCGTCAGCATATTAAAAAATATACGGATTCGACCGTTCACTCGACACCGTATTTAATGCGTATTTTAAAAAACATGCTATGGGGAGCTTGCGGATTCATCAGCCTTGCGGATTCATCAGCCTTAATTCATTGAATACATGTGGACTGAAGGCCAATCCGTTACGAAAAAGTTGCGCGGGGGGCCGTAGATAAAAACCTGGTGGTTTTTCTTCTGGTGTTTCATTGGGTATCAAGATTTATCTACCTGACGCAAGCGGTCGTTAGTTATTGGTTGTTGACTGCATAAATAATTAATGAATTTAAAAATAATCGATTCTGTTTTCATTCCCGGAACAACTTACGCGACCATTTGGTATTACAAGCTATCGATTTCTGGACTACATTATTTTACTCTTTTCATCTCATCCTCCACACTTTTTAGCTGCCGAAATTGCTCCAACGACTTTGTTGCGGTCTACATCTGGACTCAGCGACAACTTGTAAGTGCTGGTAACTCCAGCAACTTTGACATTACAGAATAAATTAGATCACAACATTCATGAAAACTAATTACCAATAAAAAAGACATCATTGATCAGGAAATAATCGGGGAAGGAATACATCGCAAACAATTGAAATTGGAAGTCTGAGTTTATCATTTGTTTAAGGGTGAGAAGATATTTTCAATACTCGAGCTCGTGTTTCATCAGGGTATCCAAACACCTCTCGACAGTAAAAGCACGAGGCCGTTTTATCTTGGTGTTTGGACACCACGATGGAACACAAGCTCGAGTTTAAGGAAAAACACTTCAAAACGAGTCACTATCTCTGCCTCAAAGTTCAGAAAACGGCGATCTTCTGTGTTTTCGATTTGCCTGTGATAACAATCTCAACTTTCGTAATTTTCCCGTGAAAAAAAAAGAGGGGGAGAAACTATTATCGACATCTGTTCTTTTTTACTGTTTGATAAGAGCAATAGTCAATATATATTCCTTTGGCATTGTGAACGAGTCATGAAATTAGTACTACAGCAAGCCGTATTGAGTTTTGTCTCCGTGAGACCCTCAGTGTTCCCTAAAGCAAAGTTGAGGGAACCTTATAGTAGCGGGTCGAAGTAAATAAACTCACTGCTTTCAGTAAGACAAGTCATCAAGTGATGAACAACAAAATTATGACTGCAAAATGCGATTCGAAAGTTCAAGTTATTTTTTCACCAGAGAGTTGGGGAGTTTTGTTTGCCCTTTGGGAGTTGGTATAAATTTTGATGCATGGGGTCCCTAGGGTAAAATACTGTATGGATTTCAGTGTACAGCACTTTAAGATTTATTAAACTTACAAAACCTTTGATCCTTTCAAATCTGTGAATAACAGAGTTGAAATTCTGTGAAAGTACTGCTGTGCATTGATCTTTTAGAGGTAACTACTCTGGCCGTAAATCAGTTGTTTTCGTTAAAGGCGCTGTGTTTCTGGCGGTTACAGTCATTGTCACTAACTTCTGGAAAGATGGAAGTGAGGGATACCTGGGCCCCCGATCTCAGCAGATTTTCGGAAGTGGTCTATTTACCGAATCCCAGTGACCTTCATGCTCCCCTGTACTGTCGATACGAGCTTAATTGTATTAAACCTTCCCATTTCTTAAAACCTTGGATAAATATTGTAAGAATCTTACCTAATGCTTCTAAAACCTATCCTGAGGACCCCTGAATTCCCAACAGCATGTTAAACACATCACTGGCGAGTAGCAAAATCCAATACGGGAAATATTCTTATCTTTTTATCACCGAGGTATTTGTCAAAAGTCCGGCCTAGAAAAGGCACGTGAAACCCGTTGTTGTGCGATATGTGACATTAGATGAACAGAGAAAAGTTCTTGTAACTTTTAAGATAAACGTTCCAAAAAAAAAAAGAAAAGGGGAGACAATAATTCTGGTAAATTTTGTTTTACTACCTTTGACTAGCACCTTACAATAAATAATTATTTCTTTTAATGAGGTAGGTTGCCAACCACACAGTGGTCAATTGCCCGTACTTGGAATAAAAACTACAGTAACGTTTGCTCAGTGTTTACATGAGTTTACCAAGTGCCTTTATTCTATGTTTCAATTCCTGTGTTGAAAAACTCTTAAGTATTGACCACTTTCAAAATATTCTTTTGTTTAAATTTAAATTAGCCTTTCTGGTCTCGCTTGAGATGATGTATTCTTTTGAATTTTGTAATGGAGAACGAGGCCAGAAAGGCTAATTTAAATTTAAACAAAAGAATATTAATCCAGGCAGCCATTAATGAAAGTGGTCTATCGCTCTTAAGTATCTTATCTTAAGTATCGCTCTTAAGTATCGCATCCATTTCTGTTTTCTAGGCTCACTTTTCCGTTAAGATCACTGCCCTAACAAACCATGTTCGCGCGAAGCATTTCTACGCTTCTCGTAACTAACAAAGACACTAGGTCATTACAATTGTACTCGCTTATGGTCAAAAACAAAACAAAATAAACAAAACGAGTCCATAACTCTCGGTCGTGGCCTTTAAACGCAATTCCCACGTGGATTTGAAAATAATCTTTTCAATAACATTCGGATCATGCTAACAAAAGTGTAGCTGACAGAAGTTAAGTAAAACATTGTTGAAGAAAGATCTCGTATCAACAATATCCCAACTTATATCCACGTTTCTATAACACGTCTTTACCAAATGGACTTGAAACTTATTTCTTTCTTAACATTTTATCTTAAACTTCGTTGATGCCTGTGATCCATTTGGTAAATTATAAATATGAATAAGGTTGTACGTAAGTACCTGTTTAATGAAGAACACCCCTTACGAGTGAAGGGTCGTCAAAACATTCTCGCGACACAAGTCGTCGAAATATCCGCATATTTCTGCTAACTTGGAAATGCTAACTTGAATGCTAAATGCTAAATGCTAAAATAACTAACACCTGCTAACTTGGAAATGCATCGAAAAGAGAGAAGAGAAGAAGACCACATCGATCAAAACGAATCTAAAATGTTTGGACATTTTTCATGAGTCTATATATTCAAAATCCTTCTCGGCCTATTCTTAAAAGTATGTCCAGGATTAATCGCAAATCTCGCTTACAAATTTTAAAGCTCTGTGCGAGATTTGCGATGTTCTTACGTTTTATCATTTTCGCCATGTTTCTGCCTTTTAACTTTTAACTATTAAGGTGTTCTCTATTCTTTACCGATTGTCCGTTGCGCAGTTCAATCCAGTTCAATCCTGAGAAAACCTGGTTCCTATAAATTCAGCCTTCATTTCAAATTAGATAGCAGGCATCCATTATCACTTCAACAAGTTTCATAGCCATCTAACGTCAACGCAATCGCTATTTTTTGTGAAAAAAAGAAGTTCTACAACACGAAATCATTAGAAATGTTCAACTGTGGCGGTGGGGGGCTGTTTGTAGGTTACCGGCAGAGTACTCATTAAAAGATCACAAATTGTGAACAGGAACAAACAGGTTTTGGAGTGAATGTATTGAGTAGAAATTTGAACCATCAAACTTGCCCTGAAAGAAACAGTAAATGACAACTGGGAAATCTTAATTTTCGGAAACTGTTTCTTTAAGAGCTGCCCCGCATACATCATCGTCCATCCATTGTAAACTGAAATTTGTTCCAAAAATTTGTCGCGTTCATCGCATTAATACACTTCTTCAGTGTTAGACGGCATTGGATGATCAATGTTTTTTAGGGTTTCTATCTATTCAAAGCCAGTTTCTACGTCGTAGCCGAATGCATTAATCTGGTGATAAAAACAGTAACAGCAACTTGAAGGTATTTTGACTGAGAGGGTACACATAAACATGGCTGACTCTATGTCGTTCTTCCTTCATTGCTATTTTTGCGCTCATCGATGAAAACGCAACAGGCCATCTCGTTATGATGACGGAACTGGTCCAGTAGTAAAGTTTAACCTTAATCATCGCACATTTCCTCTTGATGCATTTCACCAGGCTCCACTTGAAATATCAATTTGGGTTAATTTCATATCTCATTTGCTAGTTCTCTTGTTCAGTCCAGTAGAATACCTTTGCTCTTTTTCTTCTTCCTCGCTGATTCTTAAACGTTCACATCTGTGTTTTTTCTGGCCCCGTTTTGTCGTTCTGTAGCGGGTACAGGTGAGGCCTTCGTCACAAGGGCAATCTCTCAGACCAGGCTGAATTAATAAGAACAGAAGGAAACTTGGGTTAACCGACTTCATGTGTACTCTAATTCTACTCTACGAAAATTTGTAGCAGAGCGAAGAGGTTAAAAAAAACCCCTGAGGTTAAATTGGCTTTGCTTTACTACGCTGGTTAAGCGAACACTAGCCACTTTGGAGCCGAACACATACAAAGCCTTGACTGATTTCGGCTTGGTAGCTTTTCTGCATTGGGCTGTTTTGACCAATTGAGAGCTTGGTTCTACATCACGTTATCGGAAAGCGCTCTAAACACTGTTGAAAACCAACCCTAACTATTACTAGTTATCTTACCAAAAGAACAGGCTTGCATCTCTGTCCCTTTTGAGGTCTTCGCTTACAGAATCCTTTATTGACACTGTATCTTATGCAACACTCGTCTTTCTTGCATTGGCTCCAGTTTCTACATTTTCTCTTCGTGGGAGGCACAGATTCTTTAAGCTGCAAAAGTGACGATAAAGAGTACTGATGTTGAATAACAAAGTCCTTAAGCCTCTTCTCGAACAATTAATTTAAATGTAACGAACATACAAGTTTCCTGCAAAGCACACAAATTTGCTTATCAGAATGTCTAGAAAAGGACCGATCAAATGATTCAACGCGTCAAGAATCACTATTCAGTGGTTCACTCCAGTTTTCATAGTTTGTTCCGACTGATAAACCGTAATTCATTTTGATGCATTTAACATCTTCCACGCATGACCACGTGACTTAAAGAATACACATTCGCATCATTGAGATTAGTCATGAATTACTAGTAACTAGTGATGTATATCGCACTGTTCTTCTAGTAGTTCTAAGTCTGATTTTGACTGAATTAAGGAAAAAAAGAGTATGTCATCATATCACTTTGAAACGCTTGCTATTTACGAGCGCCGGAGTCACTACAACGACGACGGTCTTTTCGGGTGAACTGTAGACTGGTCATGCAGTGTCGTCAACAAGAACTATTTCCTGAAGCTGGAAAACACTATGGAAAATCAGACCATTGCAAGCTCACTTTGTTTCGATTTTTTCTTACATAAATTTGTTAAAGAGCATATTTAATGATCGTCTTCCACAGTATAGAGGATAAGATTAAGTTGATATTATGATTGCTTCAGTTGTTTAAGGGTTCATCGTTAGAAATAAAGATACTATCGATATTTTCAATTTTTTTGATAAATCGATTTGAAATGGTTCTTTGCCAATGACTCGTGTATTTTAATTTTGTTTTATGTTCACTTAGCTTTTTTGCCTAAAAGTCGCTGGGTTATCAAAATACAACTATTCTAAAAGATAACTATATCAAGTTCCTATTTTGTAATTATATTAAATCCGTGTTCTTTTAAAGGGTCAAAGAGACTTAGATTAGTACGCCAAGCTGATCAAAACAACGGATTGAAATGGATTTCTGGATCAGAATGCTCAAAATGTTTCTTCTTCTTGGTTTCTCTTTAATTTCAAATTTTGATTAAAATACTCGACAATATTTTCCCCAAATGTTGGACTACAGTGTTCTGGATCTTAAAGAAGCTTGTGGCCGCCTCTTCAGCGTTATAAACGAGCATAAAGAGCATATTGCAGCTGTCGGTTTTGTGTAACTATATGGACGCCCACGCACTTGTTACAGGGCCAGTCGTATCCTGGGCTCCGTGCCAACGTATGCTAGGGTAATCATAATTACAAAGTGGTAACTTCAATTAGAAAACTATTAGAACGCAAGGGTTCCTTGTACTAAAACTTCTTAGACACCTCCTCAGTCATTTAATGCTGAGAAGGAAATATTAGACAGTATTCAAAATGTCGGGCAAATATCTAATGACTTTGCCAGGAGTCAAAAACGATAAGTTTCGCTCGAGTTGCTCAACACACCCATGTACTAATTACGGTTGCAAGACCCACGCGCTGTATTCATCAAGGTTCTGCCCTTTGATGCTCTATAAAATCAGCTAATTGGCGTATCACAGATAACTAATACGAAGTAATAATAAAGCCTCTTTTTTCTAAATAGCGTTAACAGTATTCTTGGCCTTTCACTCGAGAAATCTGAGTGTGTCCCGCGATCCACACGAATCTATTGAGTCAGCCAAACTGATTTGCTTTGAAGTGACCGGCGACGTTCGAATATGGTGAGAGTGATATGGTATAAAATCAATAGAGCTGTTAAATGGTTAAAATCTATAAAATCAATAGAGCTTGTTTGTGGTTATCCACTCTGGAAATATCAATTACCAAGTCTGATTACCATCCGTAAAGATTTATTCCGAAAGGTGTTTCTTTCCGTTGGGCCCATAAAATGCTCTGACCTTTTTCCACGCCTCACTAATTTACTATAGGCTAACAAATTAAGAAGTTCTTAGGTTATCTCTCACCTCGTGTCTGTGGGTTATTTACACCTAACAGAACCGGAAATAATTAATGACTAATATTCAGTCGCTAATCGCTGGCGAATTGTGAAACTGCACCTTCAATAGAAAACGTGCTGCTACAGTAGAAAAGCGTTCAATCGATTAAAAAACTGAAATTTTCTTCTCATTTCTTGTGAGAAATCTTGCAAGGAACCTTTTAGATGATATTGTTTTTTTTCTGTAAGAACTGAACCTTGGACCTGGGACAATGGCCATTTTCAGATTAATTTTAGTGTGTTTTCTTTCGCGTGGGTTGTGAATCAGCTGTGTCTCTGCAATTTCAATTAGAGCACAATCAAACGGAGTGACCTGTGAATGTTCGAATTTCAAAATGAAACGAAAACAAATATATATATACATAGCCGCGCATTGAGCTATTGGCCGGTAACTGGTAAAACTGCTCTTTGTAAAAGAAACAATGAAGTACGCAATGTGTAACACGATTTTCTCTTATTTATTCATTATTATTTGCATTCTGTTTCCTTTGTTGTTTTATAAGGCTAGGCAACCATTCAGAAAATATACTACGCTTGATCTTGCTTTGAATAGCATTCAAATCGTGATACTTTCACGACAGTCTCACGACAGTAGCAGAATCCGTTCATGCCTAAGGCCTCAATAAAACAGAGCCAACCCTCTTCCTTCAGCTGAGTAAGTCTATTTATATCTCAAGAAATATTTTTAAAAGTGTGCCACCAACGACGAGGCTAATTTTCTAATATCGTTGTATGTTTCCATTGGAATGGAGTGTTTGTTTTGGAGAGAGAAAACCAACTTTTAAGGCTCTTTCTCGAATCATGAACTTGACTCTCAGACCAAAAAAAGGATAGGATTGGTAGAGGTCTTTTATTTCTAAGGACGTGCGCAGCACAGGTGGGCAATACGAGTCAGCAAAAAGGATTTTGACCCCTCTTATTCAGTCGGTGAAATGATCCATGAAAAGAGCATAGAAACCATGCCTTTAATCAAACAGCACATTAGCCACCTCTGGTAGGGTTATTAGATTGCCTGAAAGAGTTTTAGAATTCTGACCGATGTAGCTAAATCTTCCATAACGTCTAAGTGGAAAGAAAATAGAAAACGACCTGAAAATGGGCAATTAAGTCTTGAAAAACAACTCTAGCTGCGGGAGATTACGGGGCAATTAAGTGTCATTTTTTTGCAATTAATTTTGAAATGCCTCAACAGGAGAGCAATAATGAACAACCTGCACTTACAATCAGATCTTTAGCACTGATGCAGTCTGTTTAGGTGTATGGAGAAACACGTTACAAACTATCCAGCTGTGCCTCAAAACATGTGGTTAACCGAAAACGTCCCACGAGAGTAAACAGTCTTAAAGATTTGTGAATAATAATCTTACCCCCACAAGACCTCCACTTCGCAATTTCTTGAGCATCTTTTTCGCATTCTTCTTCCTCCTTCGTTTTCTTTTCTTTTCTCCTCGTATAGTTTCTACCAGATGTGAAGATGCGATTGTTGCCTCAGTCTCAGAGACATTTTCTTTCAAATACACAACCGGCGAAATCTTTGGAAATGAACTGTTCCCGCCGTGTGGGTCAAATAATGTAGACCACCCTCTCTTGTTCGCCACGTGCCGTCCATGAGGCTTGTTAACTGACTTATTTTTCTGCAAAAGTTAAATGTAAAGGTTACCTTTCCTAAGCTAACTTGGATCTGTTATGTACTATCTAAAACAAGGGCCGGGTTTCATCAGCCTGCTTAATTTTTTAAAAATCTCGTCGTTTTACATCTGTGGGCATTGTTGTCACAGATAACAAACAAAAAGAAAAGAACAGTTTATTGCATTGTTTTGCTCGACCCTAATATGCATAATAAACACTAATCTCATAGGAATTTCTTTGCTTTTACGCGCCAGTCGGTTTAACAAGTCTAATGGAATCTTGACCTTCGGGAAAAGAATGACAACGTTGAAAGAGAGAGAATCTGTCTCTCCTATTGGTTTTTGAAGATGATTGCGTTGACCCTCTTTGCTTTTTAAGTCTACAATCGGCAAAATAAAAAATGAAGCCGTACACGAAACGGCACTTGTAAACAATTGGCATCCGGTTCTCGCAAGTAGTATTTTACGCATCTAATGATCGCTTTGACTGGGAAGGGCCGACACTTACTTGATTGATTAGAATAGTTATCAGCTTTCTCTCTACCCAAACAGCAAGATATGTCAAAAAGCATCAAGCTGAGGGCAATAAAATTCAAACTGAGCGACTAACGCATGCTTATTAAGCCACGTGTCACTAAGGCCTCGGCTCGTGCACGAAGAAACAAGTAAGACAACAAACCGTTTTAGTCGAAAAATAAATGACTCATGATTCTTACCTTGAGTGAAGTCTGACTAGCATGGATGTAGAATGTGGAATAATGCAAGGCGATCATGAACACGAGGCCCCTCAAGATATCCATTCGAGTATGTTTTAGCCTCGGCTTTTAATGACGCGTAACTCAGGAACAGTGGTGGTCTATCTGCAACAGTGGACAAGTAACACGCGTTATATTTCATCGCAACGAGCTCATTATAGCCGAGGTCACGTGGCGCATACATGTCATTAATCTTCAAACCCAATCAGGAAACAAAAATAGCTTACAGTGCGGTCTGTGTGTGAGACAAGGACATTGTTTACCGCTTGCGTGCGGTCCTTTGTTTAGAAGCGGTGTTGTTTGCCAATCTCAATAGCCGACTATTTACACAAACTCGGCAAATACAGCTGTAAGAAGTTCTACTATTTTTCCTCATGACTTCAGAGCTAACTGTTTTGTGATACTTTATACTTGGCTGTGTAACAAAGCGCAGAAGTAGTCTTTCTTATCGCTGGTGGCAAAGTAACACGCCTTAAAAAACTCTTAACTAGATCTAAACTTTAATAAGGTAAGTGGAATCATACAAATATGCAATAAGTACCATATTAACCGATCCTGCTCAGAAGTTAATTAAGAGATAAATCAGTTAATAGAAAAAGCGTTAGACACATGGCACACTTTACTAAAAGAATGCAAACAATCTAGTTATTTCAGATTGAACACAATCGATTGCAAAGCATGAAATCCCAACTGATAATTGCAACACCTGCCACATTAACTAAGTCATTATCAATCGTCGGATTACGACCAGGTTTCGCTTATTCCTTGCCTACCTGAACAGTTCCGAATTATTTCACGAATGTTTATTTAATTTTCATTCCCTCGTATTGGAGAATGTTGCCTGAGTTAATTGAACATGAGTCCAAGATGTCATTGTGTAAAAATCCGAGTAAGAATGAAACAAATATGCGTGGCTTGGCCGTGTGCTGTTGAAGTTATACAATCGTGTAACTCTACGGCCGGCTTTCGGCTAAGATTATCCTCATAAAAGGCGAAAAAAGCACCATAACTTTTTATTTGGCAGAATTGCCAAAGCTTTCAACTCTCCGAAAAAAAAAAGAGAGAAAAAGCGGTGAAATATGGTGCACAGCTTCAAGAAAGACCAAGTTCAGTGGCACGCTCCCACAACTCCAACGAGCTTAAGAGTGAATTTAACAGCCCAATTACCTTCCTCGCTTGTGCTTTAGATCTTGCCTAAGAACATCTGTATGTGGTCTGTTACAGATTGCCCTCGGTCTTGCACGAAACTTTTCAATTTAGAGAATAGAATGATGTTAGAACAATTGTGATCCCAATTTTTGTGATGTAAACAAGTTATTTCATCAGATCTGCGGTGTACGTGTACACGCCCACGTGATTGCCACTGTTCTAATCTCAATGGACTGAAAATGAAGTAAAGAAAAAGCGAAGTAACTCCATCAGTTAAAGACAGGCTATTCAGATGTGTATACCATAGTCAATGACTTAAGGTCCAGCGCGTGCCCCGCTCCAGTTTGGCGTGTTTGTGAAGTACGTGTCTTACTCAATCGCTAACTGTTCAAGGCCATCAACTAAACTTGTCAATAAATTGCGATAAGAACGCGTGGTCTTGTGAAAAAAACAAACATGGGTAAAAGCTTGTTTAGAAATTACACTTTTACTGCTGAAGCCGCTAGGATGTTTTCAAAAAGGAACCCTCAAGTCACGTAATTAGTGAAAATATCTTTTTTTTTTTTTGTTATTTTCTTTGTAACGGAAGATTAACGCTGGAATACAAACAAGACCAACAAAACAAGAATGTAATACACTTTTGCTACTGAGCGGCACTCGCATCTTATTATTGCTTCTTGAAAAATATTTTTCTATCTATGACTTTTTCCCTAATGAAACCAACAGTTTTCAAAACTATTTACCCCTCTATTTACCCCCCTATTTACCCCTCGACTAATAATCCTACTACAGTCATAATGCGATAAGAAAATAGTAATCTGCTTTCTTCTTCAGTTTTGAAATATTTTTAGCTTGAGCAAGCTGTCTTCTGAGTTTAATTTCCCAAGAGATTTACAGGAATTTGTAACCGGAATATAGCTGTCTTGGAACTTTCTAGACCATTGAAAAACAAAATAATCCTTATTGTGTTCAGCGTATGAATAAGTGATGATATCAGCAGGTATGAGTAAACATGTCTAAAGTAAAGGACCAACATATTTTGACAACACTTATAACTAATTGAATATAATCTATTTTTTTCCTTCGCGCAATGGCTACCCTTTTTCTGTTGCTTCTCAGTATGTCTTTGTGAAAATGGCATAAATGGACTGGTGCATATGTGAATACCAAGTTTCGTACTTTGAACATGCTCCAAAAATTAATGCAGTATCGACGCAACACGCCAGGGAAGAGATCGAAATCTTATTACCTTACATAAAGAAAAATAAACTTGGAAATCCTTTGAAAGCCGTAATGCATGGTAAATGGTTGGATGTGTCATTTCATAGCTAATCTAGCACATCTAATATTCCTAAATCTTTAAAATTCGTGGTCCGCAGTCCTGTCAGGTGACAGTTTTTATATCACATTTTGAGGCTGCTTGGACCTGAATGCTAACCATGGCTGAATTTGCATTGATACTCGTAAAAGTTTAATTATTCCTATTCCACTTGATGTTCGAGAAACTGTTTTACGATCCTAAAAATATCAAACAAATTTCAGCTCATGCAAGTGATGTATCCACACTTCCAAAAACGGCTACGTTAATTTGGGCCTCATTTCTGATACGGAGCAAGATCGGATTCGGTAAACCTTGACAAAGGCATTTTTCCCTTAATATTATCTGAAAGAATAATGATCATTGCTGAAAGTCGATATCATCTCTAAAGTCACATAGCATGATCATTTGGGAGTGTCATTGGCGAGTCTTGACTATTTTTCTTGATGAAAATCAAGCTTCATATTTTTCGTTTTCATCATTGGATTTGACTGTATTAGGATTTTATTTTCGTGAAAAGCTCAGGAGAAAGATAGGAAGTTTACGTTGCACAGTTTGAGGAGGGAGAGAAATTTTCTAATTGATTATTTTTATAATCCAAGAATAATGTAAACAGAATCAAATGCAATCTGAGCTTTTTCGTTTTTCGTCACACGTAATGCTTTAAATCCGCTCTCCGCGGACTTTGAATGACTTCGCCGCGAGTAAAAACTTATCGCCCCTTTTACGTACCGGCGCGACAAGGAGAGAGAATCTATCAGTGTCCGGCCGCCGATCCAAACCAGGCTTCCAGTATGCCATAGCTCTATAGTCTATTGATTAAACTGCGTCACATTTTATTGCACTTTGAAAACACTGCTGACTGACTTCTTTCAGTCGCTTCTCGAGGTCAAAATCCCTTGGTGTGTTCAAGCTGCTTGTTTTTTTTTTCTTTTCATAACGGTTTCGTACTCATTCCCAGCTTTCAAGAGCATGCTCTTTCTTAAGATATACTTCGTCGCTCGGTATGATAAAGCAGCACCCAAAAATGACGCGCCTGCAGTTTGGGTTTCAAGTTGTGTAGCCCACTCTCAAAAAAGTTTGAGAGCTAAATTTTGGTTTCAGAAAATACGATGTTTTTACTGATATAAAATCATCAAGAGATTGTACTTCACCAGTCTTCAAAGAGTATATGCTTTTTCTGCACAAAAGATCTTCATGACATTTTCCAAGTGATTAAGGGGTCGTTTAGACGGCCTAATATTTCTAATCTTTTGTAAATACTAAAAAGCGGATGCACAAGCTGATGGGCTTAAAGAGACTTGTTTGTTTTCCTCAAGTAAATCTTTTTTCTTAAGTATCACCAGATAAGGGCTGTGGTGGTTCTCAGACAACTTCCTTACTCCTGTTTCATTTTCTGAATGGCTAATTTTGGTCATCAAATAACGACGGTAAACAAATAACAGTCACTTGCACTGTCGGGAAATTTACAAGTGAAGCGCCGGGAAGATCCCAGAATTTCTCTTCTCGAGACAAAAACACAGGTCTGCATGAAACATTTCCTCCGCTCATCGAATGAAATTTTCTACCTGGCCGATAATAGTAATTTTAAGATCCTTTATATAAGAAGGCCACGTGCCAATGCTCAAGTATTCTTTTCCTTTCTCAGTAAAAATATATTTTATCGTAACAAAGGCAGGATTGATCAGGTAATTCAATGCTAATACTAGACTATTATCATGATTTGTTGGGCACGGTCCTGAATCCTCTGTCAAACACATAAGAATTTTAAGCTGGGTAAAATATTTCGTTTCCTAAGTTTACGCACACACTTCGAGTCAAAATTTCGGTTGAAAACCACGTGTAGTGTAGCAGTTTTATCCAGACTTATTATTAAGTGAGATATATTCGTCAGTTATGGCATTCACGCGCCCCTCTTACTCTGTGGGATATCATGCATCAACTCCTCATGCGGAACTTTCAGTTGTCACACACGTCTGATGTCTCTTCCAGTTTTTCATTTTTTAGAGAACTTAGTTAGGCAGAGAATTCTTTTGAGTCAAAAAGCAAACGCAACTTCCGATAGTGATTTTGTTCTTCAAGCAGTTCAATGGGAAGGCTATGTTTTAGTTATATATGAATAACTCAGAACTACTAACAGGGAAAGGGGTAGTTGACTTCCGGCAGTCATTCGCGTTTCAGAAACATTGTGATTTCGCTTTCAACTGTGCTTGCACTGCATTAAATAGATGGTAACGTGGATGGTTTATGAAATTTCACCAGGTTAGCTGAAGAACGCACAGGAACAGTTGAATTTGAAGTTCTGGCAGTTGATCAGTTAAAGAAAAAGCAGCTTACGGAGCTCAGCTCCTCAATAGGAATAGTAGCGATGAAGACATGTACGTGACCGAACCACGTCAAGAGCTTATTAAACAACTTATCAAAGTACTCACAGTATCTTTTTCTTTCAGGTAACAGTGAAGAAGAAGTGTTAAAAGCTACGAGTTATGACATGGTGATGCTCTAAGAACTGAGTTTCAGCCTAAATTAGACAAGAACTCGAGAACTGAGAGCTGGAACTTAGCAAATGTTGAGCCGGAGACTCAATAATGGATTGATTCTGTTATTTCGCGACTTGGCACATTTATTTCGCCAGATTTTAAATTCAGACTCTGCGGGAAAGGATAGACAAAGCCGGAAATTTTTCTTAATATTATGAGTCAATTAGCTGATTTCCCTGTTTTCATTCATTGCTTAAGCGTGGCACTCCACGCAAATATACTGATCTCACGCAGCGTGTGCTATCCATAAATGTGTCCCTGCCTGTGCAAAATGTCCTACAAATGACTTTTCTTAACTTCTTTACCGGTTGCAACTGACTCAAGGTCCGGAAGACGGAGTTTTATTAAAAGAAGGTAATGTTGATGGATTTAATTAACGCTGTATATTTCAATACCCTTACCTTTTTGAATGTTTTGATCCTGAATTCAATGATATTTCTTCCTAACTTTCTTGGATGAATTTCTTCTGTGTTGATTCAGCTGGTAGCAGGAAAGATTGAAGAACAAGGTCATAGACTCGCAATACTGTGGGGAATTTCCGTTTGTGGGCAACTAGTTACTTGGGTCTCTGCCATAAAAACAGCTACTTATCCTTTGGAGCTGATTAACAGTATTTATCACGAACTCTTTCAACCGGTGGGAGATACGATGGAAAAGGATTTTAATTGACTCAGAGAGGTAATGACTGGTTAATACCACAAACTGAGATGCTGATTTTGCATAGTAAGCTAGTTGAACTTGGTTTTCCACGATCGCGTTGAAAATTATTTTAAGCCACGAGTGCGCATAAAACGGAAAAATTACAGAATTGATTTAAACGTAGTGGTGAACTGACGACTCATCCAAAGAAAATACTTTCCATTTAAACTTGTTTTGACATCCTATCCTTTGACTTGGTGCTTTACGATCGACCTCTTTCTATGTAGGGGGTAGCATAATAAGCTTATCTTATGATCCCTTGTGGTATCTCGAGGCACTGTTATGGCACGGACAAAATAATTCAGAAATAAACCCAGGGAGATGTCGAGTATTCACAAGTATCTCTCGTATTTTTCAACAGGTGTTTTGAACGACTAGCAAAGTGGCCCTGCTAAAAAATGGGTGTCATACGCGAACTGACGGGCACGCTTGAGTGGAATCCTCACGATTTTTAATGAGCTTAGACAGATCATAATCCAGTTAAGAAAGATGTTTTGTTTTTCTTGAGCGATTTCGTAACTTTAAAGTCAGGTTTCAATTTGGTACACGTCAGAATCGAGATCTAAAAATTACTTCGAATACCTCCCTCTCGCCCGATCAACGTAGTTCATTTGATGACTTGGTGACGGCCGACTCGGACACATCGATAGACAGGGAGCCTTGCAGGAGGTCCCCACGACATTTGTTGATCTTTTTAAAATGCCGAATTACTCGTTAATCAGTTTGGGGCTTTAACCAACAATAAAACCAGTATGTGTTTCGTTTAGCATCTGAAAAATGCGAGAACTAGGTGTTGATACTTAATTCAAGACACCCCCACAAACAACATGCTGTGTACGTAAACTCTTTGTTCGTTTCTCAGCCGACAGTCCTCGCAGATTAGGTGGTCTGTGTTCCTAATAATTGTTTTTGCTGTTGCTGCTTTGGAAAAAGTTCAATACTTTTTTGTTATTTTCAGACTATCTGTTTCACGTCATGATAAAGGTTCATGAATGCTGTTGCAATAATTGTCATTAGTGGGCGATAAATAGCTTGTTTAAGCATGTTTCTTTGTTTCCGGATTAACTTAGTTTCTGCTCATAAACGTTCAGTTTTGAAAAATACAACATCACGAGTAATGTTAAGTGTCCGATTTCTTAAATTGTTTAGGAAAAGAACATGGCAATCCTGCATGCCTGGATGAATATTTTCAAGGGGCACATGGACGCATCCGGGGTCAGCGCAAAGTAGGCAATTTAGTTGTGATGTACGTCACAGCCTTAACAAAGACCTTTTCTATGGAAACCAACTCTTCAGACGTTGATACAAAGGATATTACAAACCTTTCTTTACTTCAAATCCCTTATGAATTGAAAATAATTTGCTACATAGGCTGGAAATTGTCCCCAAGAACTGTCAAACTGGAAAGAGAAGTCTTTAACAACTGGAAAACGTCCAAAAAAGGCCAATCTGCTTCTAATTTCACTTTTGGACATAAAACAAACTTAATCAAACGGACATTGATATCGATCACCATAACAATAAAATAGATACGTGAAAATTGGGACTCCAAATTTTTGTTCGATGCCCGTCATCAGCTAAATATACAATTAAATTACATGGAAACGGCAAAGATTCAAGAATAATATTTTTCCTCTTTGCCCAGTACTTGAATACGGTTTCTTTACTTACCCGTCTCGCCTTCCAGAGTGTTATTCGGTTGCACCAATTACCATGGAGCCTTTTCTACGACAGTCTCAACAAAATGATTCGTATACAAGAAGAGCTTTCATGTGGATGTTCTGTCCGAAGTCATATGCTGAATTATATAGTGCTCGGCTATAAAAATAGACTGAGTGTCCTCTTACATCCTGCTTAGTACGCAAGTACTCAGCAAAATAACACAATCTGTCCACTACACGCGCCTCTCATATCGTTACAGGCTGTATACGATATGTTTTCTATACGAAGTTATAAATGTCCTACAAGGAAAGTTTCTTTTCCATCTATTGAGTGCACCCTTGGGGCGAAGCAAGTGATACTGTGTCTACTCGCAGAAATGGAAACCTTAGACTGAAATATTCGTTTGCTAAGGAGCTTAAAATTTCCCTTGCAAGCCATTCAAAGTATGTATTAAGTCCTGCCCTCCTCTTTACGGGCATTACCTTCACTTACTACTGTACAGTACGAAAATAAGTTCCTTTAATCACACAGCTGTTCTCCGGGATATCATGATTTCTTGACCTTGTTCTAATTGAATAATTGGCTTAATGTAGATTTTCCAGCTTTTTGAAGATGAAATTCTTTCTGTAATAACTTTTCTTAGGTTTACTTTTTGTTCTTGAAAAGACTCTTTGAAGGTATTTGCGTCTGTTTAACCTTCACCAGCAAACTGTTCCGATCAACTTAAAACAGTTATCATATCATGATGTTGGTGTTGAGGTGAAAATCAAAGTTTCCATCATGATAGTGATAAATGTGGTCTTGGTTTATCAGGTCTCTTTTTATTTGTCACTAAACCACTTGTGTCGTCCCAGCCTTGATAACTGACACACTTTAGTATATGTGCTAGAAAGACAGCCAAGATAATCTTCTAGAGAGTGTTACAACAACGCTTATATTGTAGTCTATATTCTTCTCAGTCATTTCTTCACTTACCACTGAAGAACAAGACTTCACTTAGACTGGATGCAAAGTCATTAATGCTAACTATTATCAGCTAAATCTGCAAAACTCTTTAAAACCCGTTTAACCTTGGCAAATCAACCGCGTTTTGCCCCTCAGAGATTTTTCACCCAACAAATGTTATCCGTTAACAGAGTGATACAAGCCAGTTTACAATAGAAATCCGATTGGCATATCGACTTCAATAACTGAAAGCAGATGCTTTGCATGTGGCTACAACCACTTTCTTAAGAGGTGATTTGTCTTATTTAAAAGCTATTTTCTGATTTGGCTACAAGGATGACATTTTCGAATTCCCGTGATCGCTCTGAACTGCAGGACCCACCTTTTGAAGGTGTAACATAATTATTACAGAGGGAGCCATCGTTTTAATCCTTGGATTATTTAAAATTTTTCAAATTACAATGGTTTTATGACATACTCGATTAATCATTTGAAACTGCTCAAGGCATATGTTTTCGGGGTAAAATAATTTTAAGGTGTCAAATGATATTCTTCATGATGATTTTTAGTCAGAAGTTTTGACGCCCAAATCCTATTCAGGAGTTAGAAGTGATGAGAGATTCATCTTTTGTTGTAATTGAAACTTGTCCTCCAAGAATAACATGGGAACTACTGAATTAAAATGCTGACCTTTGTATCTTTTATCATGAGTACGATGAACACAGAAACTTAACATTCCTTTATTCAGTTTTCAGTCTTTTCTTTTTTATAAAATTTTCAAAATGAAAGAGACTTTCGACTTACGGTAAGCGCTGCATGCACGAGGAATTTTAAATATCATAATAAATTAGAGTACTTCTGCGCCCTGATATTGGCTCTCATTTAATTCTTATGAAAATAGTTAATTTTTCAATTAAACTTTGTCTTGAGTGAAAACAAAAAGATTTTAGTACTGAGAGGGCTCTAGACTCTCAGAGATTTCATTGCGTTTTGACGTGAGACAAAAGATGATTAAAAACTGTTTATATTCTCTTGGATGAGAGAATGAGGAACCGCTTTGTCTCAGTGGAATACTGTTTCTAGAAACTGCATGATTTTTTATTGCCATGAGCTCAGAGATCGAGAGACGCTATTTACGGGAGAGAGGGGGGGGGGGGGTAAGGGGGTCAACAGTGAACATGGATGTTTCTAGAAAGAGCTTTTAATCTTGTTTCCCTATCGTTTCTTGACCTACGAGTTTGCATTCTGAATGAGAATGAAACAAAGGAAGTGCAGTTAAGGCAATATATTGCCTACTAAAATGACCACTACGTGAATGACATCCCCTATAGCATCCAACTTAAAGAGACAGCTAGTAATAGGAGAACCCTAAGGAGATAAGGGATTTGCAAATCCCACTTGTCGAAATGAGTAAAGGGGCTTTATTTCAATATGTGTTTTATTCTAAAGATCTCCCATGCCGTCGACGGATCTCACCCACTAGCTACGAAAAAATTATTATCAAACGATGCCGATAAGGGAGTGGAAATATCTCACCTAGACCTATGAGAGGATCTATTGTTTAAGAAGAAAAATCCGGATGAAGCTTAGCATTGTGCTCAGAGCCATCCACGCGATGCACTCTGTTCGGCCTTTCAAATCAGAAAAAAACCCGTCAATGTATTTACCTGGTCTGACACAAGTCCACCAAACAAATGAGCGAATGTGACTGATAGCTTTTTCAACTAGTAAAAATAAATAAACACATAAGTAACCAGAATAATCAGTTATCATAAAGAACGTTACTTGCCCAATCCCCCCTTAAAAATTACAACACGCTACTGACGTTTTTGGGTCATATTCATAATTAAGATTGAGATTCCACCGATTTCACTCAGAGCAAGGCTTACTGAACAGCTTTAAAACCACTCGTAGATATTCTTTTGAAAGTTGGTCTCAGAATTATCAAAATTACGTTTGTGGTGTAGAGTGGTGGATTCAATAATAATTTAGTTTGAAAGTATATGTGATGATTGGCTTTTATGCGGTTTCCTATTCAAGATTTCTTATGCCCTTTTAATCTTATTAAATATTTATACGCCCAAGAACGTCAAGCCCTTCCGGAAGAATTTGTCCACAGGACCAAAATTATTACAGCCTTAAAAAAAAAACCTCCATGCACCAGCCTTCTATTCAAAGGAAAAAGTAATTATAATCCTATAGGGCTCATGCTACAGAAACGTGATCATCTGCTGGTGTAAGTGGTACTTTGGATCCTTCATTCCTTCAATGAAAAAAAATGAGACTTTTAATGAAGTTGGTCTGGAACGACGATGGATGGTGATCGGAATTAGTTAATTGGCCGAAGAATTTAGACTAGGCAACAACTAATGTGTGCGCGAAATGTAGCTCTTAGAGTTTCTTGATAAAAAGCACCACGGGACTTCAGCCCTTTGTCGAGAGAAGGTGTTAGACATCTGATATACTGCGTCTTTGTATAGGAAATTATTACTAGAAGATTCCATCTGTATTGATAGTCTAATACCGTGGTGTTGTTGTGAACTAATTGTCTTAATGTTTAATACAATTAGTCTGCAACAACAATATTCCTTTTGACTATCTCACATTAAGACCTACCTGTGAGACAGCAGACTTATGACTGAGAGGTCTACGCTATAGCCCGAGCTGGGTTATTATTCTGTTTGATAAGAAAGTCCACTTTCATGGTGCAACCCTTCCAACGAAGGGAAGTCATCACAGAAAGTACCCGCACAGATTGCAGATACATGTATACTTAAAAATTCCGAATTCACGGACACACATGTAAGCAGAGTCAATCCTACAAAAACCATTGAAACATATCATTAACTTCTTATGCTGTAATTTTAAGCGAAAAGAATGAATATCCATTAAATACTATCAACACTAGTTCAATCTGCTCTGAACATAACTAAGTGCAAAGCGACCACGATGACCAACTGGTATTTTGCTTCTTAAAGAACGCTCTAATTCCTCCGAATCCATGGACAAGCCTGCTTGAACACACTTACCTTCGGCTGCTGAATTGAAACAGATGTCCTATTTGGCCAAAGTTGATGCTTCTGAACAAAACCACGAAAGTAAAAGTTTTTCTAGCTATTTACTTTCGACGACATCCCAGACAGATACTTATTGAGCGTTAAGATCAACTAAGTTGGATTGGAACGTGTTGGGAGTGCGACAAATTTTGTGTTTTTTTTTCGATGTCATATAACATTTATGAGTTATGAAGTGCTAGAATCCAGTTAGAGAGGTCCAGGGATCTGTTCTTGTCCTGAGAATATGATAATATCTAAATCGCAGGTGAGAGGTGCTTGTCTTTATTACAGCCGTAAAAACCTGACCTCCATGGACCAGCCTTCTATTCAAAGGAAGAAGTAATTATAACCCTAGATGGTTCATGCTACAGAAACGTGATCATCTGCTGGTGTAAGTGGTACTCCGGATCCTTCTTTTAATAACTATTGATAAATATCTGATATTTAGATACTGTCGCCCGACCAGCGCGAGGGCTGTTTTTATTCCATAAACACCTGGAGCCATGGATTCCCTCCAAACCACAGTGTCCCCTGAGCCAATTTTCGTCCCACGTAAATGGAAATATTCTAAACACTTCTCTTTGAAATAATGCTTCTGGCACGAAGTTAAGTACCTCTACGTCCAAGATTGTGGGTTTAGGGAGTAAAATTGTCCCCGCAATGCAGTGGACGTGTATTTCACATGTATATTTCGACGGATTCCTTCCTGTGTTTAGTACGAGCGAAGGAGTTGCAAAGATTTTATCGACCCGACTGGGATGCTTTTTTTTCTTCACTACCAGGTCCACTCACCTCCACTCTACCAAGGTCATCGCAATGCCTGAAACAGGAGAATTCTAGAATCTTTTGAATGCTATTTTATTTTCGTACTCAATTTCACGCACTTTCTCAATCACACATCACTAGCAATTGACACGAAGGAGTCTAAGGGCTTTTGAAGAAACCGGAAATGACTTTTTTAACCCTCATGTCTTAGTTTGCAACCAAAATCAAACATTTCTCCTCAGTGGATCGTCACCAAACTTTTACTTGTTTGCACTTTTCAATGATGTTTTCACAAAAGAGGATTTTGGTGAGGAAAAAAAAGAACGAAAACATGTTTTGGCAGATTGTTTCTGTCTAAGTTTATCTGAACTGGCCAGAAAAGAGTTTTTTACAAGTTATAGCTAACAAAAGGTCTATTTCCCGAGGTTCTTGACAATTTTTCTCCGAATTGTTCAGTTTAAGCCGAGTTTTTTACAAGAAATCAACAGCTCATGATGATTAAATTAAAAAGTTTCAGTCTTCACAGCTTTCACAGATATTAAACGGAATATCCTTGAAATAGTTACTAATAGAGTGGAAGATAGTCTTTAGAATCTTTCCAAACCGTGAGATAAAACCTCGAGGCATAAACTCATGTTTTCAGAGCTGAGGTCAGAAGTCATATTTTCTAAGCTTTCGCCTTATTTCTTCGAAAGAGCATAATATCAAATTCATAAGACTTAGCATCAGGTCAATCGACTCTACGTCTAAACTTGTTTTGGAACAAAGCCCGACAACTTACCAAGAACGCGGCCATTTAAATGTTTCTCCTTCGATCACCCTCTTTCTGAAGCTTTGTTTCAGGTTCCCTTTCAAAATATTTTCTTTCATCAGAAAGTATTCTTTAGACAGAGATGGCTAGTGTAGGGGTCCTTTCTACGTTTCTACAAAATCCAGTACTCGGGTTGTACTTAAAACCCAGGATCGGTATCCAACATCTTTAGGAAGGGGAATGGTAGATGAAAATCAATGAAAATCGTACCGGACCACTGGATGGAAGACACGTTTTGGTCTGGAAAGTGGGATCGGGAAATTCTTACAGTGGACCGTTGAGTAAATCGGGGGCGGCAAGAGTCGGGGAGCCTACTAGTACCTTTTTACCGAGGCGGTAGAAACGATATGACCACCACCTAACGCGGACCAATTTATTTGCTGACAAAGAGTTGACCACGTTCTTCACTGACCTCGCCCAAAACCGAAACATTTCCCGATGAGACGTGCAGCATAGAACGAAGGAAACTACGTGAAACCATTTGCAAAACCAAAAACGATCCCAAAAAAAAAAGAAAATTTTTCCTTGATTCCATTTTCTTTGAAATCAGGACCTAACTCCTATCTTTTTATATTTTGTCAGGCATAACTCCCGATGTTGTATGAGAAAGAGGGCTGACAGCTTTCGAAATTGTCAACAACAGGAAATAGACTAGGACCTTGAAGTCTGAGACTAGGACCTTGAAGTATTCAACATAAATTTATTTCAGATAATGCACCGCATCTTCAATGGAAAGGCACGCCTGAACATCAAGCAGAGGCAAAATGTAAGCCGCAAAAGAGCCTTAAAAAACATTATGAGATATTACATTTAAAATAACCAGCTACAATGCAATGATCAGTGATGAAGACTGCTATCGCCGTTATGTTACTCTCCATCATTCTCATCATCAAATGGGCTGCCAGATATATACAGACATCTGAAAACCTCTCCTGTCACTCGAGTGCAAGTCAGTCCTTGTTGACAGAGGCAATTTTCTGGAAGGCCAGGCTGCAAAAATGAAGAATATTCTCATAAAAATTTGTTCGAACATTATGACTCATCCATTCCTCTGGTAAAGAACGTGAACTGAAACTTTGTACATTTATATTATCATAATCATCTCTAAAAGTGACCCATTCTTCGGCTCCTTAGTTCGCGTTCACGACGATGACTCATTCTCGAGATCACTAATTGGTGTTTTGTAAAAAAGGAAGTTGTTGCTCAATTTAAACTAAGCTACTACAAAGGCGACTGATTAACTTCATACTCACTGGTGAGCTTGGCAACAACCACTTTTCAATGAACGCTTCCAAACTTGAAATTATGCGCAGTAAGGATATGCGGTGCGGCACTATTAAATGACCTTTCGGGTATTTCAGATAGAGATATTCCTAATTAAGTTAGGGTAGATATCCAGGTTTTTTCTTTGTTCATTCATGCACGTACTGTTTGTAGTTCAGTTATTGTTCAAAAAGGATTCTAAATGGGGATGGCATCCCTGCATGCATATTTGGGATACCAAACTTTTAAGTGAGTTAATTAGTTGGTCATCACTACAGTGACGAATGGGCGATACGCCGAAAAAATCCATGATTTGGAGCAAATGGGACCCTAACTTGAATCCTCTTAGTTCATCTCGAGACCCAGTTTTTCTTCGAAAAGGCAGGTGAGCGCCCATAACCGTCAGTTACAAAAAGAGAGGGAAGAAAATTAAGAAATGTAAAATCCAACGATATCAGTTGTTCGGTATCTGAATTCAATAAATGAAAATACTGAACTTTTACGGTCCTTTAAGACCCCTCACACCGTGAGTTTGAATCGATCACTATTTGTTAGGAGTTAAAAATAGAAAATATTAAAAAAGGCTATCCTTACTTTTTCATACGGATTGCATATCTCCCCAAATAAACTGATCTTCTTGCAGACTTTTACAGCTTTCGTCTTTAAGAAAGCACAGCATTCGTCTTTGGAACAATCTCGTTCGGTTTTACATTTACTCTGACCTGCAATGCACTGGTGCATAAAAAGGAGTTTTAAAATTGCAATCCATGCAGTGGAGAGTTTTCGAATAGCTCCAAATTGTGTTTGAGCCTACCATTATAGAATAGAGGCATCTTACCCTGTGATGAGTTGTCGGTAGCGAGGGCAGCCACGGCTGTTTGGATGGTTTTCTTGGTTTGCCGCCGTCCACAAAGCCCTGAATAACAAGAAGGAAACACTTGTGTAGCTGAGTGTAACCAGTGGTAATGAAAGCCATTTAGAGGATAACTGGAGGCAAGAAACTAGTCATAGACGTCATAAAGATTTAATACAAACGTAAATAACGCCTTTCGTCTGTTCCTCCAAACCTAACGGGCACATGATAAGGTAATGCAAGATGGCGCAAAACGGGTACACGAATGACGAGTTAAACCCTTGAATCAAACAACTTGGAGGCATCTTAAAATAAGTTTCCTTCGATTGTTTGTAAACTGCTGATGACGTCCGGCCAAAGTCCCCTGAAAAGTGTTGTGATGCGCATTTGATCATATCCACATGTTAATTTGCGCAATATAAATATTAGATTATTATCATATCATTATTATTATTATGCTAGAGGGTGGTCGGGACTTCTTTAACTAGTATAACCAGCTGTAAGTTAAGTGTTTTATCAGGATAATTGATTCAAAGACGAAACGTCAGAAGTTGACCTATTGTCTGACCATTTCAATGCTGACTTTGGATTTCCTTCACGAAACAGGTGGAGTAGCTCAAGGTGAAAATCTTTTTCACAAGAGAAGATTATCAAAAGGAGAATATTATTTCGAAAGCGTCAACAATTCCACAGCTGTTTTTTTTTTTTTATAGTCATTTAATACCTCCGAAGATCTAAAGCTGAATCCTACATCTTGTAACCTTGCGGGGCCTGAGTTGTTATGTAGCATGCCATGGGTCTGTTTTCTCTGTAAAATGCGTTTATTTCGAGATAGCAAGAAAACTGAGCTCAGTGAAGAAATACTAGGCATAAAGTGTTTGAAGTATTTCAAAACAAGCCAAGTAAAAAAAATCGAAAAAACTTAAGTTATAAAGTTCTAAGACCTGTTGTTTTGTGAAACAGCGAGGAGCCACGAATAACTACAAATTATATTTATTAATAATCACCAAAAAAAAAAATGATAACTACCCACGGTGGCCCACAGGGGCAGAACAAAAGTATTTTTAGAGTATCCCAGAACAAAAATATTTTTCCCAGCACAAAAATATTTTTCCAGTACAAAAATATTTTTCCCAATACAAAAATATTTTTCCCAGTACCAAAATATTTTTTCCCAGTACAAAAATATTTTTCCCAGTACAAAAATATTTTTCCCAGTACAAAAATATTTTTCCTAGTACAAAAATATCTTTCCAGGGCAAAAATATTTTTCTCAGTACAAAACACTTGATCCCAGTACAAAACTATTTATCCCAGTACAAAAATATTTTTCCAGTACAAGTGGGGAATGGGAACTAATCTCCCAGAGGTTATTGCGAGCTTCCTTGGAGCACATGTAAATGCGGCGGCACCTTTGGCGGTTTGTTTTTACCATTGCTGTAGTTTCAAAATCGTGGATCCAGCTCACAGATATTGCCCGAAATGTGGCACAGAGGTTTTCCTTGTAGCATCACCCGCAACGTCTACAAGCAACACCACTGAACCGCCAGATTCGCCAGACGAGGAAATTTTCTTTGCTAAGCTTTAAGTCGTACAAAACTAAAAAGGGGTCCGAGAGAAGCTCGTTTTTTCGAGCAAAATCAACAAACAAGACAAAGAAAAGCAAACTAGAGCCAGAAAAAGAAGTCACAATTACTGTCGGGATAATGACAAGTAAAGAGACTGGAAAAATACTTTTGTACTGAAAAAGTATTTTTGTACTGGGATAAATATTTTTGTACTGGGATAAATATTTTTGTACTGGAATAAATATTTCTGTATTGAGATAAATATTTCTGTCCT